TTCCTTGATGATATTCTCAGCAATGACAGCAGCATCATGAAGACTTCTCTTGTTGCCAGGGTGAATAGCATTCTCGATTTCCTTGATGACATTCTCAATTACCTCAGCAACCGTGTGAAGGTCTCTCTTGTTGCCAGGGTGAAGAGCATTCTCGATTTCCTTGATGACATTCTCAATTATTACTGCAGTACCGTGAAGATCTCTCTTTTCTTCTGCAGGGATGTACAGACCAGAGGCGACGGCCGCAAAAGCCAGACAGAGGATTGCCAACTTCATTTTGGGCTCTGGAAATAGAATATAAAACGTATTACAAATATATATTCATATATAACTGCACTATTACATCTGGAACATTCACAAAAATAAATGGCAAGAATCTAGACATACACATGCTATAAAAACTTGCAACTTAAATCCCACGACTTGGATCTTTTAGACAGAAAGCAAAGCTACGATTGCTTACAAAAATTGTTTTTTTTAAATCCAAAGATATAACCTCATGTAGTTGCAAGCGCAGTAAAACTGTAACATAACTTAACAAAACCTTCATTCACAAGTATTAATACAAACAAACAAAACACTCCGCAAATAAAAAGTATCCCACCACCATATCGAACAGAACTGTCCACCTAAAGTTAAAGCCCTGCTCCGGCCTTCTGCTACATAACTGGTAAACCTCTAAGTCATTGCGCAACCTTAAAATTACAAATTTTTATGGGGCATTTTTGGCCATTTAGAGTTACTGAGACAAAGAGGTCAGAAATGCAAAATGTTCTATCTGCTACATCAAAATCGTAAGATTATTCGGGGTCGATATCACGATATTCAAAGAATTGCATTCGATAAAGCTTGATTTGTTGTGAAACTATAACTTTTTGACGCCAGATTTCTCAAAACTAGGAACTGAGAGGATAGAGCTTTGTAATTCTGAGGTATGTTTTCTGTCCGCTCGTCAATTTTTTTGGGCGTGTGGAGTTATTGGCATCATCTGAAAGCTGATTTATTTGCCTTGCTTCGAATAAAATTAATATATATCTATCTTGAATAGTTTTCAAGATTCTGCATTTTAAGGAAGGGAGGTCGCCTTTTTTCAGAAGGAAATTTACGAGAACATGGCCGCCAAAGTTTGGTAACTGCAATATCTAAAGAATTTTTGAAAACTGAAAAATGACACAATTTGTGCGTTTAATCAATCACTGTTTTTTTT